TATATGTGTGTGTGTGTGTGTGTGTAGGATTTAAACAGACATTCACACCGAGAATAAAACAAAAATAAAGAAAGACATAGGTATCTGATATAAGCTCAATCATCCAGGTAAATAATTCACAAAAAAGTCAGAAGAATCTGTGCAGATGACCTGACAACTTGTTTTTAAGAAAAAGGTGTCGCTCCCACAGCATTTCTGTACTATGGCACTCTCTCCTGGCTAAAGTTTAATTCTGCAACAGTCGCCTGGTGTTCACATGGCTGTCAGCCTGGATATAATACCTAAATGTTTTTTAAACACCTGTAAGAAATAATAATAATTAAAAAACTGTACATAGTTAAAAATACTGATTATGCAAGACCGCTGTGTGGGATTTTCCAATGAAGCATGAAGCAAACATACTTTAATTATTTGTGACTCCATCAGCAACATACAATTGAATTCACTGACTAATACTTTTAAGACCATTTAAAATCTTCTGATTAAGCCCAACATTTTAACAGGTAAGTAATACTAATGAACACAGAGTGTGTGGTTTCGGCTTAGCTTGGCAGCTGTAGGAGAAAACCATCGGCTCTCTTTCTCTGACAGCAGCTGAAGATCGAAAAACACACACACACAAACTGTTTATGTAGAGAAAGGTGCAAAGTTGGGCCTCCATTTTTATTGTCCACGTTTTGTGCACAGTCACACTTGGACTTCCCTGATATAAAATATTCATAACGCGCCTCTTGCTGGTTGACCTCGGTGTATTTTTAGCCCCTGAATGTAAATATAAACCCTCGTCTCTTCCTTTCCTGTTGCGCTCCTGTTCTCTGCTTATGTTTCTCTCTACTTCAGATTTGTTATTTTCCTCGGTTTCCTGGGTTGTAGATAAATGAAATGAAAGATTAGTCAATTAAATAATTCACTCCGCAAAAGAAACAATACCTAAAACCACAGGAACTAAAGGTGGTAAGAGACCATGGTGGATTTATGACTGAAGTGAAGCCATAACAACAAGAAATAGAATATTTAGTAAACTCAAAGTTACATACAATGAAGGCATCATACACTTAATCTGAAATAAAAGGCAACTCATAGTAAGGAAAGCTATAAGAACCAAAAAACATTTTGGAGTTAATACTGTAATAGTATTGAGAGAGAGGTGTCGTCAGATGTCTGGAGCATGATCAGAGAATGAGTGGGATACGAAGGAATTATTTAGATTTAATAATTTAGATTGTGGAATGATCTGGAGGTTGATATTAAAAATGCCAAAACTATGTACATATTCAAGAAGATGATAAAAATTTGTTTTTTTTTTAAATATTAAGTAAAATGTGAGTTCATAAAAATTGTTTACAGTTGATCTTATATTTTAGCTAAGTTTTTATTTTATTATTTTATTATTTTTTTATTAATTCATCTTGCTTTTGTATAGTAATTTTGTTTGGAATATATTTTGGGGACAAGGGGCAGATATTATAAGAACTCATTCTTCTTCTGCTGCCTTTCATTTTATTTCTGTGATTGTATATCTTTTTTTGTTTGGATGAAATGAAATGAATAAATAAAACATACATACATACAATTAAGAGTTATTAGAGCTTAGTGAGGACAAGATGGCTGTCAGCAATCACAAAAAAACTCAACTTTTAGTACCAACATTTAAGAAAACACACAGCTCAGTCTATTTAATGAGGCAAGATTTTTCAGGAATAGAGTTTGGTTGGAGAATTAGAGAAATGGGATAATTGGAGATCCTACTACCTCTGACTACCCAACATTTTTTAGTCAGGTCTGGACAGCTTCTTTTTTTTTGTGCTGAAACGTTTCACCTTCGATCCAGAAGGCTTCATCAGTCAAGGAAACACAACAAAAATGATTCTTCCCCCAACAGCTTACTCCAAAGTGGAACAAACCAGTTGTTGGTGCTAAGATGGTCTCTTTGTCACGCCTCCTCCCCCATTGCCGGCCATCTTCCTTGTTGACAGTCGTGTCAAACTGGATGAAAACAACAAAGTCCATGCTCAATAATCCAGGTATACATTGTATGTCACGCTCAGCGGCCCCCACTGCCCCCCCATCTGCCTATGCCTCTGCTCCTCATATCACAGCCCCTGTTTTAAGATCATTCACATT